ACAATCAAGAAAAATCACTCATGAAACCCTAGCCTCCCTTGTTGTTTTAACTATGCCCTTTGTAAACTCAAGAGTAAGAATTTATACAATAAGAGATAACCCCTTTATCAGCCTCAACCTGGATTTATATTTTCTTCTAGCCGTGAGATGATAATCACACGAGATCTTACCATTCATTTTCATCACCATGAACCAAGAGAAGAAGGAATGGAGAGTGTTCTTTTAGTTGAGCAAGTGACACGAAGCAAAACAAAATAGAAGTGGTACTCATATTCAAAACGATGTCACTTTTCATATTTGGGTTTCTTTGACTTTTCAACCTCAGCTGATGTGGCTAAGCAAATGCCACATCACCACATGTATAAAACAACTTTTTATAAGTTCTGAAGTGTAGACAACCATCAAAATCGAGCTAAAGCTTAACTTTAGCTTCATAAGCAATGTGAAATCGATAGTTCAAATGCCAATTTGTTGTCAAATTTAGGCAGAGAAAAACTAAGCTCAAGAACAAGTCATTTCACTTGACAAACACTACATTCAAACTAACGGTGGAAAATTAACCCGCTCGGCCCAACCCATGGCAGGTTAAGCTAAATTGCGGACCAGGCCTAACCCGGCCCGCCATTGTTAACAGGTCGGTTTAGGCTTGCTTCTTTGGCCAAAAGGGTTGGCCCAACCCATCCCGCCAACCCTAACCTAGCGGATTTTTTTGCAGGCCGGCCCAAATTTATTTTTGTTTTTTCTATTTTTCTTTTGTGTAATATTTTTTAGTTAACTTTTCAAATATCTATAATTAAATTAAATTAATTTTTTTGTTAACATTTCAAATATTAATTCAATTTTAATGCAATTAAATTGTAATATAAGAAAAAATTAGATTTATTCATTTATCAAAATCAATAATGATATGAGAAAAGTCAATTATACCCTCATATATTATTTTCTGTGATATTGATTATTATGACATGGTTTGAAAATATATAAAATAATAAAATTTCAAAAAATAAATTAAAATCTATTAAAATTAATTGATTTTACTTTGATTTGTATTCTAGCATGGCTAATGGCTCCTTATTTCCTTTTTAGTAAGACATTGTGAGATTTTATATTTTATTATTATCATATAATTAATATTTTATTATCAAAGTAAAAACAAAATCATTTTTTAACCAAAGAACATGGAAAAAAAATTAGGCAAATATAAAAGGTTAGGCTTAGGTTATCTCTTGATTTTTTTATTTTATTTTATTTTTTCACGTTTTTTGTTTTGTCCTTATGTGTTTGGGCATTTGAGTCATTTGACACATGTTTATCTCTCAATGGCTATTTATATTTTTAATGTCTCTTTTGACTTTTATGTTAGTAATAAAATAGATTTACATTTATACCATCTATAAAGTTAAACGGTCTTATACCGTTTATTGTCCTATTTTTGTCTTTTAATAAACTTGTGTCCCTTTAATTGTTTTCATGAACAAATGTCCTTATTTGATTTTTTCCCTTCATAAAATCATATAAAACATCATCTAATGCACTTTTCAAAATATCCAAATTACCCTTAATATTAATTATTTAAAAAGAGGTATTTTATGTCTTTTAACATTTCTAATTAAATTTGTTTAACAAATTCTCTTTAAGGAGGTAAGTGACAGTTTTTGAAATGTGAAGGGAGGTGAGAGATAGTTATTTATCCCTTTGGAGGTGTGAGCGACTGAAACCCAAACCTTAAGGGACACAAGGGATATTAAGCCTTTTTTTATGAAAAACACTATGCTTACTCACCACTTGTACTAACTGTCATACAACCTGTGTTAAAATTTTACATAGTACCCGTACTATGCATATAGTACCAGTACTATGCGTTATATTTACAAAGGATAGTAAGATGGTTAGTAAGATGGTGAGTAAGTATAGTATGGTTCTTTTTTTATATGTCAATAACGATACTAACCAAGACCTTAGTGAAAATGATATATATTTGCTGTCAAAACAACTTAAAACACAAATTTACGGATTTGTGTTTTTATTTTTATTTCTATATATATAATAGCCTTTTTTTTAAACCCCCAACCCACTGAGTTGGGGGTTTTCAACTCGCGGGTCAACCCGACAAGTTGGCCGTTGGGTTGAAAACCCCCAACCCGACGGGTTGGACGGGTTTTGAAAAAAAATTAAATAACTTGCTGGGTCATCGAGTTGGCCTATGAAAGCCTAGCCTATTCGACGGGGTATACTTGGGTCGAGTTGAACATAGGCTGAGACGGGCCGGGTTAGGGTTGACCTGTTTAACCCGACTCATTTATTCTACCTCTAAATTACAAACAACTCATAAAACCCTAAAGTTTTACGTTATCATTAACAAACCCCAACACATTTCAAACATTCAAATCATGTCCCTCGACCCAGAACCTTCCCCTTCTTCCCGACGCAGCCGCGATTGGTTCTTCCCTTCACACTCCTTCGTTCACTCCTCTCATCAGTCCACGCCGAAATACCAAAAACACCCTCGTCAGTTCTCCAAGAATACTAGACTATCCCAGCCACGTCAGCCCGATTCGAAACCCCCCAGAAGACCCTCGTTTCGCTCTGTTTCATCCTCCAACTACTTCAGAGACTCCAACTATGCAGGTTTAGAAAAAGAGCGTTGTACTCCACGCGCCGCGCGGAGCAACCTCCGAAACCCGAAGAAATCGGCGCCGAATTGGACCGAAATGCCGGCATTTTGGACGAAAAAACCGGCGAGAAGAATGTTGGGTTTTCGGGTCAACGGGTGAAGGTCCGATGGCATTTGGCGATTTGCTTAGCGGTAGGCGTGGGTTTTGTGTGTATAATTCTTCAAAGTTTTGGGCCTTCCTCTAATTTTGTTTGAAAGATGAAAATTTTTAGGTTGAAATAATATTGTTTGAAATAATTGCAGGCTGTGCTCACAGCTTTGAGTTTAAGTAAATAAATTGCAGGAAAAAAATATTTATTTATTTTTGTTTATTTTTAATTTTAAATTTGGTTGAATTTATGAATCAAAGTTATGGCGGTTAATTTAGTTGTGCAACGTTTGATGAATTTTGCCACTACATTTTAGAAAGTAAAAACTCTGCTTTTGAAAGCAATGATAAAGTTTTGCTTTTGCTATTTCAACAAGAGTGATGCTATGGGTACTAATGGATGAGTACTAATTTGTGTACTAACTAAAGTATAGTATCCGTACTATGCGCATAGTACAGGTACTATGCTTTAGTTAGTACACAAATTAGTACTCATCCATTAGTACCATAGTACAGGTACTATGCTTTAGTTAGTACACAAATTAGTACTCATCCATTAGTACCCAAAGTATTATTCTTTCAACAATGGTACTTTTGATTTGAATGTATAACAAATGAATAATACTTTGGGTACTAACGGATGGGTACTAATCTGTGTACTAACTAAAGCATAGTACGGGTACTATACACATAGTACGGGTACTATGCTTTAGTTAGTACACAGATTAGTACCCATCCGTTAGTACCCATAGCATCACTCATAACAAATTGTTGCTCTTTTGTTTTCAAAAGCGAAAATTTAATGTTTAGATACAACCAAAAAGCATTTTCACCGTTGATTAAGCTTTTTTGTCAATCATGGTTTACTCTGTAAGATATAAATAACATCACCATCTCGATCTGACTGAATTTAATCCAAACAACGAGCACCACCTTCCCGATCACTTACGCCAGAAATCGATCTCAAAAGCACATTGGAAAGCAGCTCCTTTCCGATTACTGAATTACTGCCTTTTTTGTTCGTATTGTGAATATAGATTGATCATGTTGTATTACAAATCTTGAATATAAATGAAGTGTCACATTTCTTTCTTTCTATTCATGTCCTCTTTTTTTATTTACATGAAGAATACTTTAAGCTTCTTCTCTGCATGGCCACATGGGTTTTCTATTGATTTATCCAATTTTGAAGCTTTTTATGTTGAACTCTCTCACCCTGAAGTTTTGAAAAAAGTTTCAAAACGATGCCGTTCGGTTCAGAACCCGCCGCTAGTCTCCTTCTTCCTCAACCGGCCGGGATTGTTTGTTTGTAATTGAGTGAAAGATACTTTTTCATTCATGGGATGAAAAAACAAATAGTAATACTAAACTCACAATCTCGTCTTATAAATTTTCTCTTATAACTTTGACGTAACAGTTTATAATTAGTCAATCATAATTTATTAGATGAGATTTAAGTGGGATCCATTACGAGTTGACCAATTATAAACTATCATATTGGGGTTGTGAGAGAATGTTTATGAGAAGAGAATGTGTATATAATTTTTTCCTAAAAACCTAGACAATATACAATCCTGATATGACAGATAATAATTGATCAATCATAATTTATCAGGTAAGATCTATTATGACTTGACCAATTACGAATTGCTATATCTGGGTTGTGAGAAGAGGTTGTGGGTAGTGTTGATCTAGTCTCAAGCAGGCTTGGTCCCGTTTGTAAAATTTTCTTTTAACCCCTATAATTTAGGGCGAAAGAAATTTTGCAAGGAGTTTTTACTATTTTTCAGGGGTAAAATTTATAAATTATTTTGGGCCTGGCAGATTTTTTTTTAATAAATTTTGTAAACTTTTCTTTTAACCCCTATAATTTATGTTTATTTTAAAATTTATAAGAGGTTTTATGTAATTATATAAAGGACTAAAACAAAAATTTATAAAAAATTTGGGTCCAGGCCTGGGTCTTGAAGGAGGGCCCAGTGGAGGGACCGAGCCCTCCTCCTCAAGCCTAGTCCCGTTTTAGGACCAAACTTTCTAAAACCGATCCTAAAATTAGGTTTTTGAACCTAGTTGCAAATGCCCACCTTGAATCGTGGGTATAACATTTTCCTGAAAGTCCAGTCAGAATACAAAAGGTACCGGCTATACATAGCTGAGTTAGTTAGGTGAGTTAGTTATAACTGACCAGCTAACACATAACAATTACAGAAAACTAACTAATAAACTAACAAATTCTAGTTATGACGTAATATTCTTCCCTTCACAACTCCTTCATTCACTCCTCACCGAAATACCAAAAATGCCCTTGTGGACTCTCCACAAATCCTAGACTGTCACTGTTACGGTCAACCTCATTTGAAACCCCCCAAAAACGGCGTCACTTTTTCGTTCCGTTTCTTCCTCCGACTCTTCCTTCATGCACTCCAACTATGCCGGGCTTCGAAAAAGAGCGTCGTATTCCGAGCGCCCCGCGGAGCCGCCGAAACGTGAAGAAATCGGTGCTGTTTCGGATGGAAACGCTGGCATTTCGGGTGAAAAAACCGGTGAGGAGAATGCTTGGTTTTCGGGTCCACGGGTCAAGGTCCGGTGGCTTGTGGTGATTTCCTTGGCGGTAGGTGTGGGCTCGGTTTGTAAACTATTGAAAGTTTAGGGCGTTTTGGTAGTTCTGTTGAAAGATGAAATATTTAGGTTGAATTAATGTTGCTTGATGTAGTGCAGATTGTGATCGCATCTTTTAGTTCTTTGGTGCACAAGAATTTCTCTTTACAGGTAAGATTTATTTATTCATTTTTTAAGATTCATAAGGAATACTCATAATATTTCAAGATTCTCGACGGACACGTGTTAATATAATTCTTTACGTTTAACGTAATAATGAATAAATGATTTGGTTATATTTATGAATCAAATTTGCCGGGGGTTAATTTGATTGGCCATTGGTTGTTTTGGATTTGTTTTTTTATGATGTTTAATAGTTTCATGAATGTTTCTACGATGGTTCAGAAAGTAAGAATTCTGCTTTTATTTTTCAAAACAAAGGTATTTTTGCTTTGATTGTGTAACAAAATGTTGCCTTTTTATTTTCAAAAGGGAAAAACAACATTCGAGATAGAACCAAATAATATTTTTAAAGTTGATTAACCTTTTGCGCCATTCATGGTTAATCTATAAGATAAAAGTGAGATGTTTTCTGGCTTTTAATGGTTGAGTGATTAAATCATGTATTTTTTGTATAATTCTTTTGCTGAAAATGGATATTTTTTTAATCATCTGTCGCGGTAATTGTTTTGCATTTGCAGGAGCATGTGTCGAAGCTGAATACTAGATTACAAGCTTGCAATTTGTCGGATTCCATCGATGTCAGTAGCTCCATATCAGATGCGAGTGACCAGCTCCCGAGAAAAGGCCTAAAAAACTTGGCTATAATTCTCTTACTGACACTTTTATCAATCCCGGTTCTTATTTTGAAGTACACTGACTATGTCTCCAGATCAAGATCATCGGATAACATTCCAGAAGAATTTTCTCTAACTAAGCAGCTTGCTTATCGGCTGGACATAGTTTTATCAATCTATTCATATGCTAAGCCACTGGCATTGTTGCTTGCATCTCTACTACTTATTTGTTTTGGTGGTTTGGCACTCTCTTTTGTGACAGATGACGGCTTAGCAGATTGTCTTTGGTTGTCTTGGACGTACGTTGCTGATTCTGGCAGCCATGCGAGCTCAGAAGGTATTGGTCCAAGACTAGTTTCAGTTTCCATAAGTTTCGGCGGGATGATTATATTTGCAACGATGCTTGGGCTTGTTTCTGATTCAATATCTGAGAAGCTTGACTCACTAAGGAAAGGAAGAAGTGAGGTAGTGGAGCAAAACCACACCCTAATTCTTGGTGGAGTGATAAACTGGTAAAATTCATATTCTGAGACATGTCCGTGTGGACTTTTTTCTTTGTGCTTAACTTTTTCCCTTTTTCTATTTTTTCATTTATCAAGTATGTGACCTGGATATCATAAATTTATTTATTGGTTAATCAGTTAACTGTGTTGCATAGTTGATATGATTCCCCTTTATTGGAGACATGGATTCGAATTCTATGTTCTTATATAATAGAAAAATCAGGACTAATTAATGCATGGTAGGGGACTATAAGGTGCAACCTTGTAAGTGATGATTTTGTATTTCTGCATCCGCATGTGAAAAACAACTTTTTAGCTGCTTCTCCTAATCCAGCCCTATCCCTCAGAAGGTTGAAACAATAAAAATGGGGCAGAAAACATTGGTTTTTATAAAAACCAGATTTTACTTATTAGAGAAACAAAATCATATTAGGGGTCTTGCATTTTGTTTTCATTGTGATGTACTAGAAAGTCTTTCATATAATATAAATTTTGATCTCGAGAAGAATAAAGGGCATTTAGTAAACAAATTTCATGAACAATATTTTAAAAATTAGAATACCCATAAGGATTTAGCCAGATGTCAGGGTTGTGGTTTGCTCCCACAATGTCTGGGATTCAAGCTCCCTCATGGGCAACTATAAGGCCGAAGGCTATTATTTCCCATTTCCCGAAGCAGGGTTCACAAAAGAACAGCAAAGACAACTTTGGTTTGTTTTAAAATTATAACTAATTTTTAGGATTTTATTTGAAAGCCATTTTTGAAAACTTTCAACTAAACATATTTTCTTAACTTTCTGTGTCTCTTGTTTTCTACAAAGAATTATATCTGGATTGTAAGTCAACAATCCCTATATATTTAATTAAGAATTGAATATTGTTTCTTCTGGTAAATCCTCTTCCTTATTTTTATCAACTTGGTGTTTGATTTGGCTATTAGATCCTCAATAACACTACGGACACCGAAATATTAGCACCGAATTTCTGTACCGGCCTACGTGTGATACGTCTTTTCATTTTTTTACAATTTTTTTCTAGTGAATGGCCGTCCATCAAATTTGGACAGCCGTTCACTCATATGGCCCGTCCCTATTAAAATAAAATTAAAAAATTTGTAAAACTTTGGGGACGACAATCCATAAATTATGGACGGCCGTCCCTTACGTTTGGACGGGCGTCCATTCCTAATGGACGCCCGTCCATACTTAAAAAAAAAACAAAAAAAATGTTTGGACGGGCGCCCATTAGTCCATTATTTTGGTTTCTACAAATTAAAGAAAAACTTTGGACGATGCCTTCTCCGATTCCAGCTGCAACTCAACCCTTCTCAACCTCCATGCTGCTTCCTTCTTCTGTGCTGCCCAAGCACGATGCCCTTTTTCCAACTCTCTGCAGCAGTCTACCAGCTCAGATACCAAACATGCTCTGAAATCTCCATGGTTGAAATAGCACGGATTCTTCAACGCCATGATCAAGTTGCACAAAAAATAGCAAAACCAGTAATGTCTTATTTATGTGTGTCTCTGTGAACGTCTGGAAGAAAGAGAGAGAGAGAGACCTCCTTGACTAAATCCACATACAAACACATTTTTTGGATCTGTTCCAGCAGCTACTTCCTTGTTTATCATTGCATGCACATTCTGAACTCAAATGAATATCTGAACAAATTATCAATATCCAATAGAGGATCAGACACTAGTCACGTTAAAGCTCTCTCCTCTAAGACATTTCTAAGCATCTGCATGGGATAATATTATATATAAATTAAATCCAAAATAAAAATAAAAAAAATGGATTGGTCATCATCAAAGTGGTCTCTCCTTCCTGTGTATTTGTGTTGCTTCTTCAGTAGTTTTATCTTCAGTATTTGTGNCCCCTTACAGGTTCCAAACAGGATACCCTTTTTACAGGTTCCGATTCCAGTTCCGGTTTCTCTACACACAAGAACCGGAATCAGAAACATACAATATCGACTCTAGGTAGATTCTGATTTTGATTCTGATTTTGATTCTGATTCTATCCTCCAGTTCTGGTTCTATCCATTACCCGTGCTCACTTCTACCCACATCTAGTGCAAAAAACACCAAAGGAAAACGCAAGTAATAGCATAGGAAAATGAGCCAATTTTTGGGGCCATTATTCAAAACAGAGTTAAACCTTATCAGGAAGTAACAAATGGGATTCATTGTGTCAGAAATTAACAGGAACATACCCTACAACTTTCCTTATTCTATTCACACGTGGGCACTTGAAACCTTTACCAAAAATGAATATGCCCATTTCATTCATGTGTCTTCACCCCTAAAGCATCTACCCTTTCAACATTTACTCACCTCTTCTGTTGGTGGTGGGGTACTTAATATGTACCTTGTTATGCTCAATAATGGTTGAAATTTTTATATATTATAAAAAAATCTTTGAGAAAATGGTTGAGATTTATTATTCTTTGGATAAAAATAATCCTTGTTTATATATAATATTATTATTATTATGAGTTGAAATTAATCCACGTTTGTTATATTTCTTGAGATTTGTTTGAAATATGATGAGTTGAAATGGTTAACATTTTGAGGTGAAAATGACTTACGAGACAAGAATGTTTGCATAGAAAATGGAGAATTTGGATATAATTAATTAATTCTTCTAGGTTTTATTTATTTATTTAGACTTAATTTAATGAAATAAAATAAATAAGAAATTTAAACTATATATAACCCTTGATGCTTTTTCTATTTTGCTCATAATCAATGTGGATTTAATTAGCATTAAATTGTAAGATTTAAATGGAAAGATTTAGTTGATGAAATTAGTTAAACTTTAACTAATTTCCGTAAATTATGTTTATAAAGTCCTATTTATTAAGTTAAAAAATGCTATTTATAACCCCATTTTACTAATTAAACAAATAATATCCTTTAAAAATAGAAAAAAAATATAATAAAACACTTATTTATGAGCAAATTAGATAAAACATTTTATATAACTTAATTCTTACATATTTTATAAAAAAGGGGATATATTTTTTTTATTATTATTTTATAACTGAAATGTATGGGTCAGTTCATGCCCACACTAATTATTAGGAGGAGTAATCTCACACTAATCCACGATCTCAGTAAAAAATAGGATATTATCATTTGAAGGACACTTATATTAAAACTTACGATAAAAAATATATTTTTTTTCAAAAAAAAAGTTTCTATTGATCGATAAATTATCTATTTATTGATAAAAAAAAATGGTTTATGTCTTCTTTTATTTATGTTTTAAAATAAGTATTCTCTAAATGATGATATCTCTAAGAAAATCTATAAAAAAAGAACAACTTAAAAGAAAAAGGGAAGAACATGTAATGATTTAATTAATAAAATAAAGACATAATTATTAATTTATTTGAAATCCAAGCTGTAGTGTCACTAATCAAGTTGGTAATTATATAATAATTTAGCCTGATTAAAGTTGTAATTTAAAGAAAAATAAATAAATAATTAATTAATTAATAAATCCCAACTTGACAACCTAAAAAGAAACACGCAACAAACCCTACTTATTAATTACAAAAAGGGTAGAGTGGGGATAGGCAAATGTAGTGCCACCAGGGGTATTTTAGGTATTAAAATAATCTACATTTGAAAAAAGTGCTTCGCCAGCTCACGAGAAGCCCTGACTTACCTGCCCCAGCTCCTCACTGTCGGAAAAGTACTTTTTCTAAATTTGTCTCATTTTACAACTTTTAATTTTCTTTAATACCAATTTGCATTTAATTTTATGCAAGGGTAAGAATGTAATTTTATACGTTTTAAGGGTTTTGATAAATATTTAGTATTTCATAAACATTTATATTTCAAAAACTTAATTCACATAAAAAATAATTATTACTAAAAGAAATTAACAAAATTTTCTAAATTCAACGCCAAAACGTCTAACGAAATGAACAAAATTGTCTTCTGATAATCTATATGTCATTAACGTAGCATCAACTCACTGAGTAACATTAACAATAACTATAAGATCATTGATGAAATATCTACACATATTAAAAACGAGTAGTAATCCTCAGATTGTTAAGAAATCAACCTATAATAAATTTTAAAAAATCATCAAAGTCACTAAAATTCAATGTCAGTGCATTAGTTTATCAATTTATCAATTTATCAGTTTATCTAGTATTAGTTCGTTAAACAACATCAATAATACCGACAAAATCTTTTCGTAACGATCTATCCACCTATTTAAAATCAAGTAAGGTACGACATTTTATTGATAAAAATTTAAGAGAAAATCTTTAAATTGTAATGAATCAACTTATCATACATTTTTATAAATTGTTTTAAGTCCATTCACCTTATAATTATTTTAAATAATGTTCAGTTATTCATCCCATCTAACTTTACAATTATTTTCAATGATTTTAAATAATTCACCCTGAGTTTAAGGCTATTCTACTTAAAAAATAATATAGTTATCAAATGATATACTAAATTTATACATCAAATAACGTAATATAATCTTGATGATCAATTAATATTAATTAATAATTAATCAATAATCAAAATACATTCTTTTATAATTATAATTTATTATTAAGATTTTGTTACGGTAAATAAATTGGATAACATACCATTACTCACTCTACTTTGGTTTGGGATGGAACAGAGTTCTGACTCCGAACAAAGAGATCTTATTTGTCCTTTATATTATCCCCTAGTTTGACAGTTAAAGCCTCCTTCATCATAAAAAGACATTCATCTCTGACTCCTTTTCGCTTCCTGCTTCAGTCCTTTCATGAATTTCCAATAATACCCCTGTCCACCAATCTTCGCCTATTCAATGTCATATAATTCAATGGGTTTATAACAATTTTTTCCTCAAGATTTGAGTAAAGTCAAGACACCCCAAAGGTTTCGGAAAGTGACAAATACACCTAAAAAAATTAAAGAGCTTACTATATAAAAACTAATACCCTTTGTTTAAGTTTATGTTCTTTTCAATTTTTATTCCTTCATTTTTTATTTTAACTATAGAAATAATAATATTTATTAACCAATTTTATAGAATAAATTATAATTAAAAATAAACATATAAATAGTTAAATTATTAACTAGTTTTAAATAAATTACATACTTAAAAAAATGAATTAAATAAACTAGAAGAGAGAAGAATAATAAGATAATGGATATTGAAGTCTTTTCGAAGCAAAGTTTTAGATCCTTTTTTTTTTTTTTTTTGCTTTTATTTCTTCAAATTTTTATATAGATGAAATAAAAAAATAAAAAAGAATAGATAAAGGGTATTATAGTCTTTATAATGAACAGTAATCAATCATTTGGGTGTATTTGTTACTTTCTCAAACTCCTTTCCCTCAAACCTTGAGGAGGAAAATTTTTAAACCCATAATTCAACTGGTTTTTCATCATCTCTCTTTCTTCATTATAGAAGTTTTAAGTTTTTCTTCCTTGCCATCACCATCATCATCATCATCATCATCTTCAGTTGTTTTGCTTTTGGCTTACGTGAAGCCTTCTGGCTCTTTCTCTTGTTCTGGATTCCTTTTTTTGTCATGCATAGTCAGCACTTTCTTGTTCTTTTGCCTTCTGGTTTTGCGTCAGAATTCAGATTCCTTTCATCATAATCACAATTTGGATTCATATTCAGATTTTCTCACTCTTTCCTTTTGTCTTCTTCCTCTACTCTAATATAAACAACATAAATAATTTCTTTTTGAATTTTGTGATGTCTCTTTGCTCACAGAATTCCCTCTAAAAATTGGATAATTACCTTTAATGGTTCTTTGATGAGGATGTTGGTGGCGGCGGCTTTGTTTTCTCAGCCATGCAGATTTTCTGCTTGAAAGTTTTCATCTTTGAAGAGATTATCCATCTGGGTATGTGTTAGTTTTTTTTTTTTTTATCTTTTTTGAGATGGACTTTTCTTTGAATTGTAAGAGTTCCAGATTGTTTGGGTTCCATTTGAGTTCTTTGGCATGTAAATGTCTTGTTTTGGTTGCTATTTTTCTGGTTTTTAGAACTGTTTGTATGCCTTCAATTTCTGGATATGGAGGGGTTAGTGTTGAAGAGACAAAGATTGATTTGATTCAAAGCCAATCTTTGGATTTGGATTCTGATTATGGAATTAGGAGAGATAAGTTTTTGCAGGTTCCTCAAATTGCGTGGGGATTAAACAATCAAAAAATTGCATTTGCAAGGGCTTGTTTAACTGCTAGATTGCTTAATAGGACTCTTTTGATGCCTAGTTTAAGTGCTTCTTTGTTCTACAAGGAAATTGATCTCTTGCAGCCTATTTCATTTGATAAGGTGTTTCAATTTGAAAAGTTTAATTCACTTTGTAAAGGGTTTGTTCAATTGGGTCGGTATTTGGATGTTTCGAATCGGAGCAGAGTTTTTGAGGTTCATAAAGGAAGTGGAAGGAGGTGGACAATTGAGAGAGATTTGGATCAGTTGAGGGAGGCTAGAGAGAAACCGTTGACGGATGAGTTTGAGGTGGTCCGAATTGTTGGGAAGAATCCCTTTTTGTGGCATGATCATTGGCCTGTTAAGGACTATGCAAGAGTGCTTGAATGTTTAGTCTTAGTTGATGAATTCACGAAAGAAGCCGATAAAGTTGTGTCTAGAATTAGGGAGGTAGGAAGAGACATTAGAAGTACCCAAAATGGCGTGGATTCAGACGGCTCATCGTTGAAACAGGTTCCTTATGTAGCAGTCCACATGAGGATAGAGATAGACTGGATGATTCATTGTAAAAAGTTAGAGCAGAGATCGAAGATAAGTGAGATTTGTAGTAGCAAGGAGGAGATTATGGAGAGAGTGGGGAACATTGAAGGCCTAAAAACACCGTCAATTGTTTATCTCGCGGTGGCTGATAAACTGCTTGGAAACTCTTCTATACTTAGTGGCTGGAAAGAAGGCTTAGTTCCATTTGAGAAACAGAAATTAGGTGTTGATGGTATTTACAAGAAGTACCCGTATCTCATTCAATCGGCGATAGACTATGAAGTGTGCTTGAGGGCTGATGTCTTCGTGGGGAACAGTTTCTCCACATTTTCAAACCTCATTGTTCTTGAGAGAACACAAAAGATGATCAGAACCGGCATGGCTAATTCATGTGGGAGAAATGTAATGTGGCCTTCTTATGCATATAACATATTAGGAGAGTCAAATGGTCCCAAGAGATGGATGACAAATATGTCTGATTCGAGCCTTCAAGCCATTAGCTATGGCTCTAATGCAATCTCGTGCTCAACGTCGTGACACACGGTTCCGGTTCCTCCAATTCACAATATGAATATTTTGTAAAGACAAGATAGCAGTCAATACCAGAATAGGTACAGTTTTCAATTTTGCAGCTTTTGAACTCTCTCATTTTGTTCATATCATGTATTTATAGATAACATTCGCTTTAGTGCCTTCATTAGTTCATTTGTTTATTCCCTTGAAATGAATTATAAAATGTCTGGATTTTCAATTTTCCGAAAGTTGTACTTCTTCTCTTTAGTATTTGTTACAGTTGTCTTCAGGAATCTTAAATCTCTGTGAGGACCTGACCATGTCCTCAATTGGTCCATGGTAATGAGAAGCTTGAACTCTTTCCATGCCATTAGACCCCAATCCTATCGCAGACTCAACAGTCTTTAGTCTCACTTTAATATCGCATCCCATATGTCTGCTTGACAATGAAGTATTTCTAACCCCTTAGGGATTAGTTGAGTGGTCCACAATGGTTTGCGCCCACATGGACGGTCTGTAAGTTTCATGCTTCTTGCTTATGAAAGATTGTAGGGTTCGGTGGAGCTCTGGTGAAGTTGTTTGTTTGGTCAAGATAAGTTGAGCTTCACATGTAGCTTATTTTTCATATTCCATATTTTGCTTTATCCTCTTTTTGATCCTATCTTTTGCATTTTGTCAAAAACTAAAGCTCTTCTCAAACAGCTGTTTCCGCAATTCAAGGATCATCCACACTCAAGTTTCTTTCATTTTATTGCCTCCAAAACAATCCAGGAATCTTTTTTTGGCCCCTTTGTGGTCCTAATTCTAGGCCTGATGGGGATTCCCTTTTCCAATTTTAATTGAAAGTGTTTTCAGAAAACAATTTCAGAATCCTCACCTATTGTTTCAGGGAAAAGTAAAAAGGAACAGGAAAAGATTACCATTTCTTAAAGTTGACTGCACTCTTATGTGTTTTCCCCTTTACAGCTAGACTGCTTTGCATTATATATGTTCTTTCACTCTGATTTGTAGGAGTTTTTTAACATCTGATGTAATATAATAAGCCAACGACAACCGGAGTATGGTACGTCAACACGAGTGCAACACTTGCTTAGTTTTGATTTTTTATTTTTGTTATCAAGGGTGTTGATGGTAGCTTACAAACACCTCAATTAGTTCTTCGATCTCAAACAAAGGTTTCGAAAGAGGATAAATTCTATAGTCTGTGGCCAATAATATTAGCATTTATTTTTGTTATTCGGACTTGAGATCATAGAGGGAGCAAATTTTTTGGCTCCAGGCCTTTACCACTTGACAAACCCATTGTTAGTTGGAAGAACGTTTTAGGCTATATGTTTTTTGTCAGAATAATATTACACATATATCATTCTCATACAGCTTTTTTCATACAATATTATGTGACAAAATGTGATTGGGTGAAAGTTTAATTTTAATTTTAAATTAGCCAATCATATCTTGTTATATAATATTGTATGAGAAATGTTATATAAAAATGGTATACGTATAGTATTACTCTTTTTGTCGCCCAATAAACCTCGACTGTCGCTCAAAATATGAGTCCTATTATATTGAACAGATAATGTTATCAATCAGGAATTTTCTTTTTAATAGAACGATTTTGGAAACCGATAGTCTGTCGTCGACGGAAGTGATCGATCGGTGTCTCTCACCGACATCATTATCAGAGTAGTTTCCTTTCACATGAATACTCCGGCCGGTAGGTGGGGAGGCCAGCTACTCAATCGCGTGTGATTTTTGGAAAGAAAAATTTTAAATGATGGTGGGAACTCATTGACTTGACTGTCAATACAGATAAAGCCTAAGATCCAGGCCGAAACGTTGACAATGGAGCTTCTCTTCCCCACTATTCCCTCCAAATCATCAATATTCATATTATTATATGATCAAACAATTATCAAAAAGCATCACAAAATTGTTGAAAAGTATTAAAATCCCTATTACGAAATTTTGAATATTTTATGCCCTTGTTCCCTATATTAATTTGAATCATTATTCTATTGTCCTATTTAGAATAAAAAACAGAATATGTGTTTATTTGTTTATTTTGTCAAATTCATTCAAAAAATTAATCCAACTCAAATAAGATTTTTTATCTCAAAATGAAAAATAGGTGAAACTTGTTTTCTATTATCTTACTCTATTCGGTTCAAAATATTTTTTCAACTTTATTCAACTAAAAACAGTTATCTTTCACTCATTCTAATTTGAAAATTAATCCACCCAAGACAACTACTGTTTGCTAGCAACCGTCGCAGGCTATCGTGGCCAAAACAACGCACAATCGATTGAATGTAGCCGATCTTGTCCTTTCTGAACAGAACTACGACCAAAGATATAACTATTGACAGCCAGATTCTAGCGAGATCCAATTATAAACGGTCAAATCTAACTGACTGTAGATCTGGCAAAAATGGTCATATTGGCGAACAATCGACTAGATCTAGCCAATCATGCGTGGTTTTGATGACTACCAGTTATCGTCTGGTGACGGTGGCTGACTGTCCTTTTGGATGGTTGGGATGCATTCGTTAATTTTTAAACTTTTATTGTAAAAGTGTTTAGTTAAATTAACAAATATAGAGGTGTTGAAAAAACAAATCTAATTTTTTTTTAAAAAAATGTACCAAACAACTATTCAATATTTTATCAAACTCCGAATATACTTTTCAAATATTTTACCAAAGATATTTTTGTAATTTGATCTAATTCGATTTAATTCCACTCAACTCAACCTAAAATACTTTTTCATAATAACATTTTTCAAATAATTTGCGAAACAAGCTTGATAATTTTACAGGAGAGATTTTAATAATATCAAAAGGATTTTGAAAAAAATTGATAAAATAATATAATACTCTTTCATAATTGTAAGCACGTTTAATACTAATCAATCTCAATCGATTATACCCTTTTAAGCATATGCAAAGCCATATGATAATTACACACAAACATGTATATTTTACGCAGCATAGCTCATCTCTATTAAGAAGAGAAACAAATAGAATAGGAAAATGAAAATGATTTCCTTGATGTGTTGTTTGAAGTTCAATAAACATAAGAGTGTTTCTCTGTCCGGGGATTTTTTTTTTTTTTTTTTTTTTTTCTTTTCTCTCAGTTTCTTTCAAGAAGAAGCAACCATCATCTTATGCAAGGAAAGGATCATCTGGGCCACAAATTTTCCAGCATATAATGATCAAGAAAATTACACATTGTAATGAAGAGCGTTTTTGTTTTTACATGCCCCTATAAAGAAAAAAATTATGGAGTGAATAGAGCGAGAAACTCAACACTTTCCCTGAACGCATTGTTGCATATTGCTTATCATATCAACTTATTCCAAGTATCAGAGACTAGTCTTTATATCGGCATCACTGCATATAATCTTCATAGTAATTGTCGCTTATGACTGAGACAAACCTTTCGAGCCAAGGCAGTTGATGAAGATCCTTCATAGCATCTACATAAGAGTCTGTACAGCGTGGCGGCGATTGGTATGGATGGTGATCACTCAGGCTGAAACCCCCAGCAAGGAATCTTTGGATGAGGGCCAGCTGAGATCTCTCTTGGTCGGAGTATGCATCCATGATCATGGGGAGAGAATTGAAAGTTTCCCAAGCCCATTGATCTGATTCCTGGGCAGATTGGGAGACTAAGTCGTCGGAATTGTCTTCATCCCAGAAGGCACATTGGCAAGTCTGCTGGCTTTCTCTATATTCGGCACCACAAGAATAACAAAACTCGTGTCCGCACCTGGAAATCAGACATGGAAGCAGGTTTAGTTTCACAAACTTTAAACCATGGCAATATAAGAAAGTTAAATAAGACTAATTCACACATGGACAACAAGTGCATGAAACAAGAATGTCAAATGATGAAATAAAAAATGGTTCCATGCTACGGCCTTGACATAATAATAGTTAGACTATGCTTCAATAGAGCTTGGATCTTTCTATTGCATTTTGTCAAGTGTTAACTAGACTCAAAATTACAACTAATTCAACAATCCTCAGTTCTAACCAATTACACTCATTAAATGGACATTTTCTCACCATTCAACAATAGCTAGACACATACTACATTATATCTTAAGCACAGATGTCTTTTCGTATCTTTCCAGTTCTGGCCATAAAACCATGTTCAAACGGGAAAGGATAAAAGACATATGTTCATGAGCAACTGGAAAAAGCATTGACAAGAGAAATGCCGAGTGATAAAAAAAATTATTTCTCCTTAAATCTTCAACTCAGGAATTCTTCCCGACATTTTTGTCTAGACAAAGAAACCCACCTCAATAGGACCACCTGCATGCCACCTGCTCTGAAAAGATCAATACCGTTCTTTTACAATAAAAGATCTAGCACCTTTTATTTCAACACCTTAATTGATTTTTTACCTGAAAGTATTCCTTTTTTCACTTTCTAGAACCACCACCAGGACTTCCACACGGTGGCAACCACCATTCAAACTATCAATTATTACCATCATCATCACTGCCACCACCACCACAAGCTTTAACGCTGGCAGCTCTACAAACATACCACCTCCTCACCATAACTAATTCCATCATGAATGTTACCGTCCCCACCATCACTATCAAAGTAGCCATAGAGCTACCAGCCTACCATTACTAACATTGCCACCCAGAGTTTCCCCACCACAACAATTTGTCATGACAATGGCCATCTTAACAGTTGCAGCTTCCATTTTCATTACTCTCATTTCACACATATTTGAATCTAACAGACCAGAATTTCATTACAAAATTAGAAAGAGAATTAATTGCATTTCAAGAGCAAAGCGAGCAAGGAACTTTAAATTTCATGGACTGTAAATTCTTGGATTTATAATTCCTAAAACCTCAAAGTCCTAAAACAATTTGATACAAAATTCAAGGACCTATATCACCCAAATTCTCATGAATGCTGACTGCTCTGAACTGGAAGATCGTTGCTTCCACATAATTATTTACAATGGAAATTAAAATTTAAAAGGTGAGAGGGATACAATATGGCTTCTTTACTTTAAAATCCATCCAATCCACTTAATTTATGAAAAGCAACACAATTATTTATGCAGAGAAAGATATATCTTACCGGCAAGTCATGTGATAGCAACCTTGACTGAGTTCAATCATCCTACGACATTGCTGGCAACGCCTCCATCTTTTATTTTGTGCTAACTGATGCAAGGAAATGTCTGACGCATCTCTCTCCTCCAAGGGAAGATTCTGGTACTCCTCACAGTTCATTGAAGAATGCCAAGGAACCCCACAATCCACACAAATAAATCTTTGACAAACCGGGCACTCAACACAGCTGTTATCAGACTGACTTGATGAACTTGCCCTAGCTGACAAAGATTCCTGAGGATCAAGCAGGACTGAACAATTTGGAAACGGGCAGTAGATTCTATCCGAGTGGAGAACATTTGCTTCTTCAAGGGCTCTCTCCAGTGATTCATACGAAATAAGTGGAAGAAATGATTTGCACTCTGCAGTAGAGATGCAATATTTGCATTTCAACTGTGGACATCTGATTGGAACCTGAGACGAGTGCACTTTCCCATCGACGTAGGTCCTCATACAATGCGAACAGAACTTGTGGGAGCATTTCATTGTAATCATCATCGGAGACAGCTTGTCCTCGCAGCAGATAGAACAGTTTTCAACTGATTTATCTCCTTTGGCAGGAGAAGAGACAACCCCGATAGCTATTTGTGCTAGTCGCAATGGCCTCTCAAGATCAACACTCGGAACAAGTGTTAAAACAAACGTTTCAAGATTGCTTGTATGTTCTAGGATTCTTTGCCTCAGAGCCACAAGAAGCGGAATGTCAAGTCTCTCCTCATTTGTAATCTGCCAAAAATTCATATGTTAAAGACAGCATTCAATACATTATACATTATTTAACACCACATCACCCATTTTCCAAAAATTCTTCATTAGATTCCATGTTTTCCTTAACCAAAAAAATTGAAACGCTCATCAGAAAATCAAAATAGATCTACTCCTTGTTATTACAGACAATTCAAAAACGCATAACATAAAGCAAGCTTTTATTCTTTTCCATCAGAACTAAACATTCAAACCAGTGAAACTGTGTCCAATTTTAATTCGAACCAATATTAAACTCACAAGAATCTCAATATCGAATTTTAGTACACTTCCAAGTTTATATAAGCTACAAATGCAGAAACAATAACGAAAGCTCTCGCAACAAAATTCCATCGCAGAGTTCTAAGTTTTGACATTCTAAAAAGCTTCAGCACAACTTTGAATCACAAAACTTAAAGGATAAAGACATAAACCTGCTCATACAACAACTCGGAATCGGTAAAAGCATACACACTGCGAACTTTATTCTGCATAGCCTCAGCCAGACCATCCATTAAAGCTAAATAATCAGCCACAGATTCCTCCACATAGAAATCAAGCTTTTTCTGCACCTGAATAACAGGAAGATTAATCGATCTCTCCATCACAACACCAATTCCAGAGAAGCCAGAACTAGACTCTCCAGCGTGAGCTATTGACATGCCTTTGAAGAACATCTTCACTGAAAATTCATCAAGATCTTCCTTTGCTTCTTCTTCCTTCACCACCACCACCACCACTTCTTCACTCTCCTTCCACACCTCATCATCCTCACAACAGCTCCTGAATTCCTCCTCATCTTCCTCTAATCTCACTTCCCTCACTGTATTCACACAAGATTCCACACCAACTGCCTCTTGATCCTCCATTTTTCACACCAATTCCTCAAACAAAACCAACACACAACTATGCAAACAAAGACCAAAAGAGAAACAACACCCCCAAAATCTGATCTTTCACCTCCTAATCTAAAACCAAAATTTAACAAATACCCACCAACAGATCAATTCAAAAACCTCCAAAAAGAGAAAAAATTCAGGAGCCACAATCAGTAAAAATATGACCTTGAACCCTCCAAACCAAGCCAAGATTTCAGAAACCTCCAAGGGAGAACAAAAAAGAAGAAAAGGGTATGAACAGAGAGAGCAGAAGTGAAGGTTCCATGGGATGAAGTGGTAGTTAGGCCTGGAAGTGGAGGGAATTTAGGGGGGTGAAGGTGAGAGAAAACCCTAATGACGGAGGCGCGCGTCTGACAGGGGAAAAAGAATAAAAATTTACTAAGATTAGAGGGAGAAGGTGATGTGGAGAGAGAGGAAGATCAGTTACTATTTGCTGTCAATGGGATTGGGATATGGCGTAAGATTAAAGGAAGCAACTTTTGGGGTTCGGATTTGGAACTTTGGATGTGCTGGCATTCATTCTGGCTTGTTGCTTGCTTCGTTTAACTTGTTCAAGCTTGGCTTTTCTGAAGCACTTCACTTTACTATAATGTAATAATATTAAATAATTAAAGAAAATTCCATTTCTGTACAAGGTATTTGTTGTCTTAAATGTTATTTATTTATTTGCATACATTACGAGTACAAGATGTTATTGTATTAATCGGTTTGATTTATAATCTAAAAATAATTTTAAAAAATAAAATACGATTCAAATTTTTAAATTTTGTTTTGTTTTGTTTTTTATTTCATATGATATTTAAAACTATTTTCAAATTAAAGATTATAGAACACTATAAAATTGATTTTTATATATTTTATGATTTTACACTAGTTTTTACAACTGTATCTAAACATTAGTTTTAGAAACATTTTAATTCATTTCTACTAAATATATTTTCATAAGATTTTGTTGTATCCCTTGTTCTTATAAACTAAAAACTATATTTAAATTCTATATCAAGTATGCCCGAATTTCAAAATTAATAAAAACTAACCTATGTTAATAGTTTATTTACATAACATAATAACATTATTTGGAATAAATAGAAATTCAAGATAGAACAAGGTGACATTAATTTTATTAGAAGATACTTAAATATTATTGAATTCAACCATAAAATATCAATATAGTTTAATAATGATAAATCTAATGGTATTTAAGTACGATCGTGACAAAATTAATATCAATATGTCATTATAAATATCATAACCCATCATCGGGAGAATGTTATATTAGAACAAGAGAAACACACTTAATTTTTTATGACGGGCTTTGATTGTATTACAACATGATTCATAATCTTACTTTCATAAATTTTATAAATATAATGTAGCATTATTCAATATAGATATCAGATTTGTCACCCAATTTTTAAGGAAATTTCTTGAATTATTTATGGTTAATATAAGCTCTACTTCATTATCAAATTAGTTTTCTTGATTAGAAATGGTAGTATCAATAATATTAGGTATTTAACCTTAAGGCATCGGTATGGTGGTCAAGAAGGTTTGTTCAATTTATTAACTTTTTGGGTTCGAACAACCTTAAAGTCACTTATCAAATTTGTGGTTTACCCTAAAATATTAAATTTTTAGGGTGGTCAATAAACTTCGAGGATTAATTGAGATGTATGCGAGCAGGCTTGAACACGTCATTCACAAAAAAATAAAAATTAGGTATTTTTATTTGCTCTTAAATTGGAATTATTTGAGCAGAAAATTGAAACCCATCAAAATTGATTCTTCATCTTTTTAATTTGTATCAAATAAGAATTATTCTTAATTTAAATAAAATCTATTTTTAATTTGTAGATAAACATTATATATTCAATGATAAATACTAAAATACATATAAAACTTCTTCTTTAATCCTAAGGAAAAAAAAAAAAAAAAAAAAGGGCATTAAAACAGTAATCAAGATTCTGAACAGAAAGCCTGGTTTAAGAAACCTATGCACATGGGTATTTGTCTCTCTTTGACTTTTTCAAAGCCACTACAATTTAATTAATTAATTAATAATTTTATTGAAATAATATAAAATACTCTGCAAATTTGTACTAGATTAGAGTTGATAAATGAGACAATAATGATTACCATCTTTCATCTTCACTTTTCATCTTTTTCGAGATAATATTTTATTTTTTATTAATTAGGATTTTTTTTTTTTTTTGGTGAGGATGATGCCAACAATTCTAATTTCTACAAATTGATATCACAAAATTTTTGGCTTTGGCTTTTGTTACCAATTAAATAAAATAATATATAAATTATTCTCTTTTCCTTTGCATTTAAAAAATAAAAAGATGATGGGATATTGGAGAATATCTCTCAATTTTTTATATATTTAAAAGTCTCTAATATTAGAGAGCATTACCATACAAAAAAAAAAAAAAAACTCATATTTTGTAAATATCACAAATTCAACTAAAAATAATAAGTCTATATTAATATAAAATCCTTTAATTTCTATTATCAATCTATTAGAATTACAATAAAAATTGATTCATAACTCAATCTCACAAACTTTCTTTCATAACTCTCGACGTAACAATTCACAATTGGTTAGATGGAAAAATTCATAAGAAATTAATTGCAAGATATCATGTTAGAATTATAAAAAAAAAAATTATGAGTTTAGGTTGGAAATATAATATTGTCCTTAGAATTAACCCCTTTTACAAATAAGGGGGCGTTTGGTTGGGGGTTATATAAGATTATTAGGGTAATGTCATCTTATATTACTTGATTACCATGTTTGGTTGTCAAGTAATATAAGATATCGGTAATCTTCAAATACCAATAGCAGTTATTATAGATAATATCGGAGGTAATCTGATTACCTTCATTTTCTTAGGTATTCTGAGATTACTAGGGTTATCTTTTTTTGTTACAATTTTATCTCTTATTAATAAAAATCTTGGACAATAATACCCCTACTTTAAAACAAATTTACAATAATATCCTATTTCAATTTTACACTTGTTTAATTAAAATTTTGGACAATAATGCCTTTATATTTAAAATAATTTACAGACCATCACTGCCACCCAACCACCACCTCCACTGCCACCTAGTCACCACCGCCGACAGTGGGCCAACCACCATGGGCCGTCACCGGAAAATCACCGGAGTCCCTAAAAAAGAACGAGACTCGGTGGGAGACTCCGGGAGGCTTCGATATGGCCGTTTCTGGCCATATTGATGGCCGAAAACGGCCATATCAGGCCAGATTTGGCCGGAAATGCCAGAATAGATATGGCCTGATTTGGCCGTTTTCTGCCATCAATATGGTCAGAAACGGCCATATCAAAGTCTCTTGGTCACGTTCAGCTGTTGATGGGGACTTTTGGAGACTTCCGACGGTGGTCTGCTGTGGCGGTAGGTGGTGGGGGTGATTTCGTAATAAATTAAAGTTTTATATAAGCGGGGGTGTTTTAACTAAATTTGAAATATTGGGGGTTAAAAAAATTATTCAAAAATTAATAATAAAAATAATATTATATTAATATTTGAAAAGGGGACAATTTAGTAATTTAAATAACATACCCACGATAACCAAATATATTAATATAACATATCCACCAACTAACCAAACATATTTTTCTAAAAATTCTCAATAATCTTCCAAGGTAATCTATCTTTCTAGTAATCTAACATTCTCAGTAATCTAATATTCCTGAGTCAAACGCCCTAATATCAATAGATTACTAACCGACAATAAGAGAAAGTCATTCATTGAAACAACAGACAATACAAGTTTTCATTTTTCAAACCAAACATCATGTAGTTTACTAGACAACAAATAACATTAAGAGAAAGTGTTCACTGAGACTAGAGAGGTAATAAGACACTTTCTACCGTTGAGAGTTGATCAGATTTTTTAATAACTTATGAATGTGAATATGTGGTGCAATTACTTTATTATAATTTGACTTATGATTTGTTTTCGGGCGGAATCACATTTTGACCCCTTGATTAGAGAAATGTCTATATTACCCTCATTACTCTTTTCCAATTCAATCATTAAAACTTAATTATGAAAAGGGCAATCCTGTCCTTTCACCTCACAAGTATAAATATTATGGAGACCAAAAACCTAATCTAATATTATTACAAATTCATGATTAAATTTTAACGTCTAAATTTCAAAAAATGGGGATAATATAGATGTTTCTAAAACTTTGGTGCGCCGGGGGGATGGTGGGGTGGGTGCGGGGGGGCGGGTGGGGATGTTATTTTTTAATGGAATGGGTTGGAAATGATTTTCATCCAGTCTTTGTTTTTATTCCAAATAATTGAGATGTCTCAATCACCAATTCGGTGGTAGGTATTCTTCACATTGACACCAAATTAAACGTTTTATTTCTTCATTTAAAAAGTTCCAATTAATTAATTATTAATTACATTATCAAGACAATTAATTTGTCATTTATATAATTGACATTAATTAATTAATATTTATAGTAATGTTATTTAAAAAAGTATTATAATTTTATTACTTAAAATTTACTTTTTCAATATCACAAACTCTTTTTCAAAAATTTTGTATTGTTTGGTAGCAATGGAGAAAAGAGTTTATGAGTTATTTAATAAGTTGTTTTACGTCTTCATTGAGAAGCTTAAAATTTGAGTTTATTTAAAGTGTTAAAATTTTAAAAATATCATCGTTCTATTTAATAATTTTCTTTCGATTTTGTCTTATATATTATAACATTTTTGGTAATTTAAAACTTAAAAAAAAAAAAAACATTTATTTAACCAAAAACCAAATTTTTTTCTTCATGAAAGTATATTTTTATAGGTTGTTAACTTTGCATATTCCTTCAACCATTTAACACTTTTTATATTGAATTAACTAACCATTTTTTAATATTGATATATGCTTTCTTAAAATAAAAATTATAAAAATGTTTTTGTTGATATAGATGGCCTAATTTGTGAATAAATATTTTTTTGGTAGAGTGGGTATGGTTGGTAGTTTAATTAGTTACAACATTCAACACAAAACAAAGTATTGAAGATGGAGACAAGGCTCCCACAATTGCATTCCCCAACCAAATGTATTTAGAAAAATAAATGCAATTTTTTTTGAAAAAAAAAAAAAAAAGCAAAATAAAATCTTCACATTCAAGGGATAGAGAAATTTTATCTTGTTATTTTACTTTTCAAAGGTTAAAAGATAAATTATTGAAAAAAGAAAATTGCATTAATCTTTTCTAGAATTTGGTTAAACTATAGATAGATGTGTTATTGATTTTATTTTTTAACAAACAAAATCAACTCTAAAATCTTGAAAATCATAATAAATCTTTCTTAACATTTGTTTGTTCACTTTGAGAACATTTTTATAATTTATAGACATTTTTTAAAC